GTTTGTTTCTGTGATACAAATCCATTTTACTTCGGAAGCTCACACTGAAAAGAAAAAAATAGTTATTTTGAATTTGGTTCCATGTTCAGTTGGGAAAAAAATAAAACTAATCCAAATTCAAAATCCCACTTGTCACTTAACACAACTAATATTTCCAATAAAGGTAACTTCAGCATATATTTTATACTTATCCTTTTTTAAGATGATCAAATTGCCTTGGCATGTCAAATTTATGACTTTCTGTTTGCATGGGATGTAAATAACATGTCACACTGTTAGAAGCACATCTTTAAAATGACAAAGATAAGAGAACATGCCTTTTATAGAAGGGAGATGTGTCTCTGTTTGTTAAATGCAGAATTTGCCAAACAAAAATAGTTACGGATAGTTGTGGATCAGTTATATCAGATCCACAACTAAATCAGTAATTAAATGCTTTAACATAATCGGGGCCATGATAGACAAGACTAGATGTTACCCTCAAGGTAATGTTACCACAATGCACTATATGGTTGTACAAATATAGGCAGAGAGACAGACAGACAACACACTGACAAACAGGTCACTTCATCCTTATTTCCCACGTGTCCACTTTGTACTTCAGTTCCAACATAAACAGAAGCACATTTACACAAAGTGCAGGGGCAAAACATTTGTAATGTTGCTTGGATTGAACTGTGGAAGGGATTAAAAGGTTCAATAACTTTTCTTTTGGAAAGGCATATTATTCTTTATGACAGAAAAATCCAACTTTGTTAAGGTAGAATAGAAAATGTCAGAATGCTGCCAACTTATTTGGAACATATGTGTCAATTAATGTCACTGTGAATATGGAATAACAGCATTTCCCTCAATGGACTTACACATCTTGAGTGACAGAAGACTGAAAATAGAGTGGCCTTAGAGTTTATATAAATAATATTGCAGAGTTGATGCTGTTTCTTTCTTCTTCAAACATCAAAGTTTTTCTGATGTTTATTACATTACAAAGATTGTTTGTCAATGCCAACAACAAAGTACATTTGCAAAATGTATATTTTTTTTCTGATATAAATGAAAAGCATGTTGAAATTGCATCTATAGCAGTAAAGAACCCATATTCATATCTAACTAGAGACACCATTCACCACATGTAGTTTCTTTCTGGTGTAAAATATGCTGTTTTCTCAAGATTTTTTAGCTTTGCAATTCAATTCTGCTGTCCACTGCGGCAAAACTTAATAAAATGAGAACATAGACAGTGAACCATATTTTAAAAGAGAGAAAAAAAAACACATTTTAGGCACTTGAAAGGGAGGTGAGTTTAAGTCTTCTAGCTCCATCACAGCATGAAACCTTTTCACGCTCCTGTGCAGGAGGGTTTCATGCCTTGTAATATTAAGGCTTTTTAGTTCGAGGGTAATCTCATCTGACATTACAGCACTCAGAATTAACTGAGTAAAGTTCATTCCAAGACATCGGAACGACAGTGGCAGTCAGACAGCAGATATTTTCTTTTAGGGTTTCTTGGGGTGCCGTGATCCTTGGAATTTGTCATACAGAGGCAATGATCTCAAATTGGTCTGAGAAGAAAAGGCAAAGAAAACAAACCTGTGTGCTGAATTTTTCTGAGTAAGACCTCTAAAAGGAATGTGGAGAGTCTTTTTTTTCCCCTGCATTGAGAACTATTTCAAAGACATCTTCTGTGTATTGTCAGCACATATGAGAGGTCTTTCATCCCTCTAAATAGCTGGAGGAATGAGACGTTCTGTAGCCTGCTGCTTCAGATTCCTATTGTTTGTGCACAGCCTCTCACCCCCACTGAGAGGTCACGAAAAAGGAACATGCACACACAAACAAACTTCAACATAGACAGGAACTAAGATTTGTGTGTCAGTTTACAGGCATTCAGTATCATAAATGAAAGACAGGGTTGCAGTTTGCAATGTGGTTGGAATCGAAGCAATGTAAACGTGTGCAATTCAAAATGTGCAGCTGATACGTGAAGCTTAAAGTTGACCTGAAGGCCTTTCGAGAGGGGACACACGACCTCTTATTACATTAGCAGTCTCCTCACCTCAGCATGTTGTGGATGTGTCTTCCATGCAAGAAAGTGCTGAACTTTTCACCTCTTCTGTGTGTCTTAGCACCATGTCAGCAAACCATGTTAGAGCTTTATTCTGTTCAAAAGAAAAAAAAAAAGAAAAGCTAAAGTGAACGGGTGTTGACTGCAGAGATGGATGAAGTCATCTTTGCTCTTAATTATGGATGTGACAGAGCAGCACCACCCTGTTTGCACTGGGATTACTGAACAACAGTTCTGCCCGGCATCACTTTATGACCCCTTATGATGAAGATGCTGTGCAATCTTCTATGCTGGCATAAAGTTTTTCATTTAGAAAAATAGCTTGTGAAACAAACAGATGTGAAATTGATGCTGTAGCTAAAAGTAATATCTATATAATGTTTAACATTATCGCATGGACACATATTATTGGTTTGTATCTTCTCAAAAACACAAGCTGAGATATGTTTTATTTTATCCTTTGATGTTAATTCAGACTTTTGTTTTATTTATGGATTTAGTTGAATGTTTCATATAATTAAACTACCAAGAATATTTGCAAAACAATTTTCCCCTTATTGTAATATATTGCCACACCAATATCTGTTATTTTCTGTATTCTATACACATTCATCATAGTAAATTAAGTCATCGTCAAAAAGTTAATTTATTTTTCTAATTCAGTTAAAAATGTGAAGTTTAAATATGTAAGGCGTTGAAGGTCATTGCCAAAGAATTTGGTTATTCAGAGTGCTGGATCCAAACACATTAATGGAAATTTGAGTGGATGGAAAACATATGGTTGAAAATTTTGAATAAGGTTCATTATTGGCCAGCGATGAAGCATTGCAAAAAAAGAGGATGAGCTGTGTGTTTTATTCTGGGAAGTATTCATAGATTTCAGATTCCTCATGCTTGTTGATTCATGGTTTCTTATGCCCTGATACTGTAAAGAAGAACCAAAACAGAGCTTCAACAAATTACTGCCTTCCCTTTTTTTTTTTTTGCATTTTTTCTGTCATTAGTTGTATGTTCTTGGATCTCTTTAGGGTGCAAAATAACTTTCTTTCGATGTTGGAGTTCAGTTTGAATAGTTTCCTTGGCTTTATTTCTACTACTTTCACAATTAGACTGACCATCTGGGGTTGGGCATTTTCTGTTGCATCAACTTTCTCAAAGTTTTGCTACGTCCCCATCAACCTTGTACTTTTTGGTAAATTGGCAGATGTGGTGTCATGAATATTAGGCTGTCTCAGTCTCTCTTGAGACAGCCTAATATTTGAATATTATTACAGCCTAATATTTGAATATTATTCAAACTTATAATCAAATAGACAATCCAAGTATATTCTTCTCTCTAAGCTTCTTAGGTAGCTCTTGCATTTAACTGTTCTGGCTGATGTTCAGTGAGGTGCACACAACAACGCCAACCTTCCCAGTTTAATATTTCTTTTCTATTCGAAGACTGACTCGCTCATTGAAACCTTGAAGGGGCTTTTGATACTAAATCAGTTTAAATGCTTACTTTGCAACATAACAAGATTGCAAGAAAATTGCCATTTTATTTAATTTTGTCCTTCTTAGATAAACAAAATGTTTATTTTATGTGTTTACTCAATTTTATTTTAAAGACTTACTGATATAAATTAGATTGTTGCATTTTTCAGGAGAAATTATGTTTTAATGAACTGTAAGGGTGCTTAAAAATGGCCTGTTTCAGAACCTGCAAGAATAGGCATTGTTTGCTGTTATACAAAAGCATTAAAACATCATGATGCCTCCACTTCTTATATTCCCTTTATAAATGCTTTCTTTTGATTTCCATTCAGTAACAAACCCCTGAGTGTAGGTGGTTAGATTAGATGCACAAAGAGTCATTCTTCCTGCCTACTCTTTTGAAGTGGCAGGTATTGATTTTCTCTATTAGCCTAGCAGAAAAAAACACCATTTACTCTGCAACTGTTTTCTTAGATACACTGATTTGTTGGCATGCTTAAATCTCAGATTAAAACAAAACACTGCTCAGCAGGACTCAATAGTATAGGATCTTATGTTTTCTGTTGATGAATGTGTAAACTGCAAACCAAAGCTAATTAGAGCACTTTCTCTTTATTCTAATTTCATTATAGTTATCCCCCCGGGTCACATATTCTGTTCTCATAATTTCATTGATAGTTAGAACATGATGTTTATTGCAGATTCTGACTATGAAACTGGCAAAATAAAAATGGCTGGCACAATGTACATGTGAGTAATATTTCTAGTTATTTTTTAACCCAAATATTGAGTTGATACTGTTGGGAAGGAAGCTTGGTACTTTTAACTAAAAATGATAAATTTAATACTTTCTTAAATAGAATAGAAAAGAACATAGAAGTTTGTCATTTTTAACCATTTGTAAAAGGATCACCATGGTATGTCTACATGTTAGAGGCTGAGCACAGAGAAAAGATGTCAACAATACAAAATATCTTCAATTGTTTTATTTGTAGCATGTGTGAACATTTGTAAACAAATGCTAAAATTTTAAGACTTAAGTTCACATATAAAAGCAATTTTATTGATATTTGAGTAAAGTTTTTTTGACAGTTGTTTTTTTAACATAATTTCAGCTGTATTTATTTGATAATATTTGATAATAAAGGTGATTTTTATTTTAATTAAGAATTTTATGAAGAAAAAAATATAAGTAGCCTGTGTTATATTGACTAGCTTGTTTTCAAGTACACTTGTTAGTTTAGTTTTTAATCTATAATAAAAAATAAAACTAAATAAATCATAAATTTCAATTTGGATATTACTTGCTCAGTTAACCATGTTATGGGTTAAAATTTTTAACTATTATTTGTTAGTCTTAATTTGACAGTGGTCACTTCAACCTATCCGCCTATCATAAAATCTTCACTTGGGTTGTGTATATGTTAATTTCTTTATTTTTTAATTATTTGTTTTCTAGGTGGAAACAAGCTTAATGGACAGCAATTCCGCTTGGACTGGGCCTGGATTTCCATGGAGAAAGAGTATTATGTGGTAGATGAGGAAGACAAATTCTTGGAGGTGGTGCTCCAACGAAGAGGATATCTGGGAGAGACGTCATTCATTGGTCAGTCTGTTTTTTGCCTTTATGCCTCCTTTGCTTTATGTCAGCTTTCATCTCTCTGAACTGAGATTTATTGTCTCTGGATTTAGCCACAATAAACAATGATTGATGCAGAGTGTATAATATCAGACTTGGCTCTAGGCAGCAGTGTCACAATAACTGTCAGATGAATTGCTGTAACCTCTTGGGGAGATATTTATTGCTCCTGCATAAATAACACAAACACGTCCCTGACTTTTCCCCAAGTGCTGTTATCAAGCTAAAAACCTCAGTTTTGTGAATTGGAAGTAATAAGAGATAATTATTCAAACTTATAATCAAATAGACAATCCAAAATTATTGTTATAATTTGACTAAATAAATTTTAGTCTGTTTTCAAACTTTTAATCTTCCAATCTCTCAATGTCAAAGATGTTCACATTGCAAAACAAAATGATAACATACATAAAAAAATCCAAAATAAAAACAATCCTATTCATTTTACCAATACAGTGCCTTTAAAAAACTATTCAGAACAATTGAAATTTTTCATATTTTGTCACTTTACAATTGCTAGTATCACTGTATGACATCAATGATACATGTTTTGGTTTATTTACAGATTAAAACCTAAAAGTATGGAGTCCATTTGCATTCAGCTGTATAAAATCTCTTAATACAAATCCCTTAAGAGCAACCAAATATCTTCAGAGGTCAAAATCCATCTGGATAATGTTTTGCGGTGAAAACATACAGCTGTTCTATAAAGACTTTAAAGATGTTAGTGAGCCTTAGAGAACAAACACCATCAAGAAGAGCAAAGAACACCGATAGTATTGCTAGCAAGGGGGGTCAACCATAGAAGTGGTTAATTTGTGAACAACTGTTCCTGAATGTGGGAATATATTTTGTTGAAAATTATTCTGCTGCAATAATAGCTGTCTTACCTCTGTAAGCCTTTAACAGAGGTGCCAGTAGATCTGTTAGTGCAAAGATATTGTGGAACTGACCTTGTAAACACTGAAAATAGAAGCCTCAGAAATTATGAGTCTTAGTACATTTTTTTCTACATGAAATCTTGTGGCCTGTTTTTTTTTTTTTCATTTTTTTACTAACAATTGCATACATATTAGTAAGTCGCGCTTACATTTTCTACTAATTAAACTTGTCTTTTCTCTTAAACACACCCTGTGAATTTCCACAGTAAATTAAATTTTGCAATGAGATTAATAATTTTCATGCATCATTTCGGTATTCAACTATTTAGGTGGAAATTGCACAAGACTTTAATTAGACAATTTCTATTAGTTTAGTACAGACAGTGTGATTTGCTTTGACTGATGAAGGTTTAATTAGGCTAAATTTACATAATTTCCCTTTTTAAGCTTCAGTAATTAAAATGTGGCCAAGGTAATTTTAAGCTTTTCTTGCTCCTTGGCAATGTTATATTAATTTTTCTTGAAAAAAGAAAAAGGCATTTTCCTGTGTTATATATTTTTTAAATGAATAAAATATAATAAGTTGAACTTCAATCTTATGCTTAGTTTATCAATATATGCATCATATATACAATTTACAACTTACATCTCTTTCATTTAATTCAAGATAGACTTTAAAAACTAAGCAAAAGAGATTGTAGATTAAACATATTAAATACAAACAAAACATTGCATTTTTGGAGTTATAAGTGTAATGCAAATGTTTGTGTTCTGAATCTTACCGCCACGGATCAATGTTTAGGCCTCCAAGATTCACAGTGAATGTTTCAGTTGATCTTAAAAATATAATCCTGTTCCCAGGATATACTTTTGATTTTAAATATTTAAATAAGTGTTGGAAAATAGGTCGCAGAGAAGAACCCTTAAAACAGAGAAGTATCATGTCAAAGCAGTATATTTTTCATCAATCTGAAATATCCTAGAGGTTTCCCTGCAGAACATGCCTGCAAATCTATCTATCTATCTATCTATCTATCTATCTATCTATCTATCTATCTATCTATCTATCTATCTATCTATCTATCTATCTATCTATCTATCTATCTATCTATCTATCTATCTATCTATCTATCTATCTATCTATCTATCTATCTATCTATCTATCTATCTATCTATCTATCTATCTATCTATCTATCTATCTATCTATCTATCTATCTATCTATCTATCTATCTATCTATCTATCTATCTATCTATCTATCTATCTATCTATTTATCTATCTATCTATCTATCTATCTATCTATCTATCTATCTATCTATCTATCTATATATATTATATATATATATATATATATATATATATATATATTATATATATATATATATATTTATATATATATATATATATATATATATATATACTACTACTACTACTTCAATGCCAATCCAATACTAAGCCTTCTGAGTGGCAGAGGTTGGTGATTTGGTGTTAAAAGGAACAGCACAGCATATTTTTGTGCTTATGTCGGGGTGTTTGTGCAGGTTCGAAGGTTTAAGGGATGACAATGCTGTCTCTGAGCACCTCCCTTAGCCTTGACTTTATCATGCTTCAGCTGGTTTGCTTATGAACAAGTAGCAGTTGTAAGCAACTTTTACTCTGCCGCCTCTCATCGTCATTCTGCTCTTTGTAAATCCCAGAGCCACTTTTAAATATACCAGTGTGTCAGGTTGTACAATAATATCTATTAACTTGGGTAGATATACTTTTGAGAATTCACACCACTTGGGACGGTCTGAAGTCTGTCTCTTAAGTACACATGAGAAATTGTATTCTGATTCTCTGTCTTTGCACAGACAAAACACATGGTTATCTCTGAACACCCATAGATGGTACACTCACACACACTCACCCTATTTCAAGACAGTGTTTTAAAAGCAGCGTCTAGGTAACATGGCTTTCTGACGAACTGCTGAAACACTTCAAATTGAAACGACTTTCATCTAGGCTGATGTAGCTCCCAGAAATTCAGCAGAGGCATAAGTCCATGGCTGGGGTGAAAATTAAACTGAAGTAATTCTTGTTCTGGCTTTAGAAAATTATTACATTTTACTTCAGAGCCCAAAGTCTTTTCATTTGTGAAAGTAGGAAGCACTCTAGCTCAAATAAAAATAAAAAAAGGAAAGAAACAGGTTATTAATATTTAATAGAGATAACAGTAAAATGTAAATTAAAATTATGCCCACAGGAATATTTAAGAATGCCATTGATTTTATATATATATACATTTTTTTTGTTAGGTTTTTTTTGGGGGTATGTGTGAGTGTGTGTATCAACACCCACATGCACACACACATTTGTGTGTGTATTTATATTGCTCTTGATTTTTTATATATTAAGCTTGTTGTTTTATTTATTGAAACTTCATATTCACTGCCACAAGCTACTGTAAACTTTGCACAGAGAACTTGACCGAACTGACTATGGCAATTATTACCCACCTGACAAATACCCCTTGACTGTACTTGACAATAATGGCTCACTTCTTCCATTGCCTTTGTTGCTTTGATTTAGAGAGTAGAGAATAGGGATTCAAAAACAAAACTACTGTTCCAAATCACAGGCAGGAATCTGAATATTCGGTCATCAAGTATGTGATTTTAATAGAATATTTTCACAGAAATATTTTTACATTGCATTGGATTTGTCATAAGGCAATACCTATGAGGTGTAGCTGGTAAGTGCATTGTGCAGTATGTGCCATTTAAAGGCTGTCACATTATCAAGCAATTAGTATACACAGTGACCTGGAAAACTTTTTGACACCTTCAACTTCTACAAGTCCTGCCACTTTATGACCACAATTATCTATTTGGAATTTTATGTGATAGATTTTAAGTGTAGCGAAGTGGAAGATAATTGAACAGTTTTCTAAATTATCAATGAAAAATCTGAAAAAATTTATTGAACCCACATTCTCCTGCCTCATAAAACCCAGCAGAGCATGTGTCACTACATTCTGTCACCGACTTTTACAGCAACTACAACCCTTTTGTCATCACCAGGTTTGCAGTTTTCTTTGCTAATTTTTCTCAATCTCAGTCAGTCAAGTCTTTCACAGCACCTGACTATTTAAATGATTCAATTGGAACTATAGCTATATTTGTTTTCATGATGGACGTTTTCTAAATTCACCTGGCATGATGGACACCTGACATGATGTTACCACCATCTCTTACCATGGTTATTAATTTTTCCGGGTAATGTGCAGTGGGCAAGAAGTTTTTTTAGCTAAAAAAGAAGGCTTATTTGTTTTCTCATCTGACTAGAGCACCATGTTTTCTGTGTCCCCTACATTTGTTTGTGGACATCTATTTCAAAGTCTTAAAAGAAACAGTGAAATTCAAATTTTTCTATCTATTGAAAAATTTGAATTTTTGTGTGCTGGTAAAGCGTAGTAAAAAATATTTATTAAGATCGAATATCAGCACTCTTAAACAGATAAAGCAGCCAAGGCAAGAATGAAAAACCCACACAATGATTGCTATGATTCGGGTGTGCGGAGAGAAAGATTGATCGCTCCAGATTCAACGAGGAATAAGTCAGGGATAAAATAAAAAGCAGGGAAGAATGTTGCGAGAAGCCTGCTGCTATTGCAATGGTTTGCTGATGAAAGCTTGTGTGGTTCCAAGTAACATTACAGCAGAGCTTTTTTGCAGAGACCATCCCAGCAGGTGTACAGGTAGTGAGGATCAGCAGAGAAGGAACACGGGGTTAAGATCAAGGTTTAAAGTTGCCCCTGCAAAGCAAAAGCTCAGGTAGGATAGCCCTGGACAAGAACATGTCGATCAGTCTGGATTCTCCTGCTTCTCTTTTTAAGTTCAGCTTTTTCTCACACTTCTTTCAACAATCAATTAAATCAGTCCACATACGTGTCACATTATTTATTCATGAAATAGTTTTTCCAAACCTTTCCTACGTATATCAGTTTTCTCACCTCCTGACTTCTGCTTTGCTGTCACTCGACTTAACTCTTCTCATGTTTACGTACTGTCTTCTTCAATTTCTCATCGCCTCATCTCTGGGCATTGAAGACTGTTCCTGAGAAGCTCTTATTCAGACACAACCGCTCCTCTTCACCGAGCTGCATCCATTTTCACAGACTGATTGAGGTGATTCTTCCACTGCACTTTTATTCTCTAAATATTACAATAATCTGAGGAAGAAACATGGAAACCCATCGCTTGTTGATGCACATGAGAAGAGAACACTGTTCCGTATGATGTGATCCAAGACATGACCTACAGTAGTTAACATTGCTAAAGATGTTCACACTGTTTCTGAGATGAAGGTGTCAGAATATACGGTGCATCACTGTTTGTTGCAAATGAGGCTGCATAACCTCAAATCAGACGGGGTTTTCCCATGCTGACCCCAGTTAAACACTCCAACAATGGGGATCAAGAGCATCAAACCAAAACTGCTGAATAATAGACGAAGGTGGCCTAAGTTAATGAATAATATATGTGATAATATATGGCAAGGAGGCAAGACAGCAGAAGAATGTTGAGCAATGTTCTACTTGAAACCTTGTTTCTGGCTGTACATGTGGTTGTGTCTCTAAACATATCACCTCCTGACACATTGCTTCATACTATGTACATCTTTTTGAAAATATGTATTCCCCCTATGGCTATGGCCTCTTTTCACTAGTTCAAGATTTGTTGGAATAAAAAATAAAGAAGATGATGCTAATGTTGTAATGGCAGAAGCCGCACCAAAATGTCAGTGGTCTAATGGAGTCCATTCCTTGCTTGGTAAAAGCTGTTTTGGCAGCTAATGGAGAACTAACACACTTTAAGGCAGGTGATCATAATGTTCTGTCTGACCAGTCTATGTGTCTTATCTTTATTCCGCCTTTTCTGCAGAACCTCTGCTGTACCACTTTAAAAAAAAACTTTATATTTGCTTACCATCAGCAACTCTTGCTCTCACCCTGCAGCTCACACTTCAAACATTTTAGTTTCCCAGTGATGTCTGTTTAAGATGCAAGGTCAAGCATCCAGTCTGTGTCCTTGAGCTCTGAGGCATCTTCCCCTTTGGACTGCATGAACTCTTTGATTTCAACCAAAAGCGACAAGAAGCGATTCAAAACTCTTCTCCTTGTGAGCCTCTGGATTTCTACATCCAGTAACAGGTCACCATATTCTGCTGACAAATCCTCACATAGAGCTTTAAAAATCCACTGTTTGTCTTTGAAGACAAAATACTACTTAAAATGTGGTGCCAGTTCACACTTTCTAAGCATAAGCTCTAGTTCAGTTCACACAGGTTAAAACTGATATTTTTTCTGCACAGTTCACTTCCCACATATTTTGAATAAATTCACAGTCTCAGTATTGACTAGATTTAGTTCATCAGTCTTTTTAGAGAGCTGTGTTTTAAAACGGGGGGACCTTTTACATGCATCTGCTTATGACTCTCCTTTGGGCTTCATTAAAATAAACAGTATTTTAATTTGGGTAAATTCCAAATAATCTGCCTTCCCTGTTTAATAGGATTGTAAAAAAGCATTGTAGTTTTTGTGGGTTTTTTTTTTTCCCTTTTGTCACACTTAAATGTTTCAGATGATCGAAAAAACAAGCATGACACTACCATCTTAATATTTGACTGTTGGCATGATGTTTTTTTTTTTTTTCTGAAATGCTGAGATAGTTTTACACCAAATGTGAAAGTCTTTGTCTTTAGATGAGCAAATTTGGCAGAGGCAAACTCAGGAATAATTGCAACTTTAATTGCATCGCAATGTTCTCCTGCTAAGTATTGATTCAGTGTGCTGATTCAAAGTGCATGTGACACTTTTTCCATTTGTAAAAAAAAAAAAAAAAAAAAAAAAAACTGAAAACCTTTTATCTTTTACAGGACACTGTAATTTAATGATTTGGTATTTATAAATTCAGACATTTTCAATTTATCTTTAGGTGCACACAATTGCACATCACAGATTACATGTCATTATTTATTAAAAGTGCAATTTTTTTGTAATTTTATGTAAATATAACATGACTGAAGAAGCTTTTGCAGTTAAGTTCCTCATTGCAAATTAAGATTAGGCTACAATGAAAATAAGCATTGGTACTGCTGAGAAAGAGTGATTTTGCAGTTTATGGAAAATCACACTTTCTAGGCAGATATGGAGACTGACTGTGGTGAAACAGGGTTTCTTTAATAATAAATAATGAGTAAAACTTGAAATGGAATGGCTGGAAGTGCAGGTCATGAAGTCCATACAGAATAGCAGATAGAGCAATAGAAGAATCCGATAAGGAAACAAAACAAAAACCGGGAGGTCCAATAAAAAGGTGAAGTTTGGAAAATTATAAAGAAACTTGATTAACTAATTAGAGGAGATGTGGTACAGCTGTGGGTAGAGGAAAGAAAATGAAGGTGGGAGACCAATTAACACACTGAGTTGAATGAAGACCCAAAGACTTTGACAGAAAACTATGTGTAAATGAGCTGTATTACAAAAACATTTTTCAAATCAAGTGATTAATCTCACTCCAAAAGCATTTATAGATCACATATTTAAGTCTCTCAATAGGCAAAAAATAAGATAAGCTTGGAGTGTGAAAAGTATTTTTGAACACCTTTTTGTAACTTGAAACTTCTGCTCTGAGACACAAACATCAGGGTCTTTAAATCCATGACTAACAGTCAATGCGATCAAAAGTTTGGAGGGGATATATCCTCCTACACAGAGGGAACCTCAATATGACCCACAAACTATGTCTTGTTTTCTCCAGAGGGGCAGAATAAGTGTAGAGCTGTGAGATTCCACAGACTTTATGATCAACACTTTCTTTCTCTAAAGGCACATTTTATTCCATGTGTTTATTATTATTATTATTATTATTATTATTATTATTATTATTATTATTATTATTATTATTATTATTATTATTATTTTTTATGTGGATAAACTGATTATTAGAATGGATGGTGAAAGTAAAAAAAATGATTATGTACTTTTATATGTTATGACAAAATGTTGATATTAACTAGTCTCAAATTTAGGTGATAAGTCTGTAAATGATCCATGTTTTGAAAGCCAGTGATTCAGGTCATGATGGTCACTGAGGGCAATTATTGAATGCTTGGTCAGTTCCAGGAATTCACTCATTGTAAATTAAGACTTCCATTTTTGATAACAAGAATTGTCATCTATCAAACTAAATCACTGACATGTGTTAATGATTACAGAAGGCATAAACAGTAGTTTGTCTGTATCTTTCAGAGGGAGTGTTGTTCAAATATTAGTAAAGCGCATGCATATGTTTGAGTCTCTGTGGATTAGAGAAAATCCATGACACATTCAAGCTTCATTTAAGCTTTTGAACCCATTTCTGAATTTAAAAAAGCTGTTAGTTACATGACACACCAGACCAAGCTGAAAAAAAAACCCAAAAATGTTTGAAATCAATATTCAATCAGTGAGATTCATCATGATGATCAGTGTTGTGCATGACCAGCATTGTACATTTACTCAGATTTATTATTGTGTGGTGATATACATCAAATATCACTGCTTGAGATCAAAAAGAGGGAGATTTTAGCAATCTGTATGTTGCTACAGACTCCAAGAACACGTTATCCTCCTGAACTTGGATATTAAGAACTAATCACTGACTTAAATACAACAGCCCTTGGTTTTACACCTTGACCTAGATTTTTTGCAGCACATGGGTCTTTTTGTCCCATTTTCTTTTGTCAGATTTCTTTCTGCTGTGACTCTCCAAACCCTCTCCAGGAACTTCTGTAAATATAAAAATGGTACATCAAAACCAGGACCACCAGATTTCCCTTTCTGACTCAGTCTGTTAAATGTTGAGCTGCTGTTTATTATGCACTTGACATTGTTTACATTATTGCACTTATTCTACATTTATCTGTTTTGTATTTATTTTTTTCATCCGTACTGGTCTAGATTGGTATGTAACACATGGCAGAAAAACATTCCCAGTCTGTTTTATGCTTTTTGGTGTACAATGCAACAACGCTAAAATTAAAAATTTAATTTGAATGAGTGTGACTGTGTTTTGTTGTTCTGTCGCAACATTTACCTTCAGCTTATCTTCTGCATACAATAATCACAGTGTGCTCATGTTCAATATGTATCCAATCCCATCTGCATATGTTTGTCACCCGCTTTGTTGTTTGTGCAGGCATCAGAACGTCTGAAAAGAGATAACAAATCCTTTTGTCCTGGACTCACAGGCATGAGTGTCTGCCTGGTGTAGTAACAGTTCTGTTTGTTCGCCAAGGGCTTTATGACTGTAAACAAAGAAACATGAACAGCTCACTTCCAGTGCCACCAGTGTTCCCCGTAGACTTTAATCTGGAAGCCAGTGTTACCAGTTGGTTAGCGACCCATTTTGATGGTGCCATTAGATATATCACAGTGAAATATAAGTATATTAAAGGATTTATTCAGATTAGATTTAGTTGAAAATGCTGTGACACAGAGCTGAAAAACTAATTCATGTGTACCAAACCACTACGTTGTAACTAATCTCTCTTGTAACAAAGAGTGGGCCTTACATTAAATATTTCAATCACAAATATCATTCACACATTCCTTTCTAAGTGATCAGCGAAGAGAAAAAAACAGCACTCGTTTTCTCACCTCTTTGTTAAAGGGTGTGAATTTTTAATCTGTTTTTCATCTGTTTCTTTCTTGTGTCTGTCAATCCCCCATTGCTTGTGACTTTGTTTTCCTCAACTTCTTGCATATTGATTAAATTCATTTTGCATGGCTAATTCTTTTTGTGCTTTTTGTCTTTTTTGTTCCTCACAGGCATTGGTACACAAGATGGTAGTGCAAGAAAAGACGAGGACTTCAAGGGGAAGTCTCAAAGGCAGGTCCAGTTCAATCCAGGACAGACGAGAGCGACGTGGCGCGTTCAGATTCTGACTGACGATAAGTACGAGCAAGCGGAGACCTTCCAGATTCTGCTGTCAGAACCAGTGATGGGAGTGATGGAGTTTCCCATCTCAGCAACAGTGGAGATCCTAGACCCAGATGATGGTCAGTGCTGCTGAACACTCTATATCCTGCAGTATATCCATTCTATGTGCAGGGAATCATTTCTCCTAAAGCTAACATTTGAGAATGTTTTAAATGAAAGGCAAATAGTTTGTTCATGTTTTCCGTATATTAAATGTGGAAAAACATTGAAACTTAAAAAAGCAGGAAGAATCCAGGTCATAATCCATTTTACTTTTGCAACATTTTATTTTCTGTTAAATTCACAACATTCACCTGCTCATCCTCTTGTGATACAAGCTGGTTTGAAACAGACCCTTTACTGATGATACTGATGAACCTTTGCTCTTTGACATCAAACATGAATAGGAGCAATGCATTTGGAATATGGAGACATGTTTGTAAAACGCATAACCCCATGCTCTAGTCTTCTGATCCAAATTATTTGGGCTGAAATGGCTAAGCCATCAAGTCAAAACATGTCATTTAAATGAAAAATACCTATGTAGTTACCTCACAAGCAAGACGCTTCGGGATAAGGAACTGAACTGTCCTACTGAAGAACCCAGCAGCTTCAAATAACAACTTATTTACTGTAAGTTTTCCATATATTCAAGGAGCAGAGCTGAGCACAGACATCATACTAACACTGCCATGTTTGATTGTCATTGGGTTGTATTAAAAAAAAAAAATGTGTTAGTTTTCACACCAGCTTTGATGGGAAATGCACCTTCTAAAAAGCTCCACTTTCATATCGGAATCTTGTTTCAAAAGTCTTTTTTGCAAAAGCAAGATGAGAGTTTGTGTTGTTTCTGGTCAGCAGTAGTTTCCACACCACAACTCTCCCATGGATGCCATTCTTGCCTGTTCTCTTTCTTGCGTCAGATGTCATTCTAGTTTCTTTTGTAGCCTCCTGAGACGAGTCATTGATGCGCTCTTGGAATGCATTTTGCCGGCCAGCCACTCAGTGCTCACCACTGTCCTGTGTTTTTGCTAACTCTGGCTCACTAGAGTCCTGAAGCCTGAGAACATTTTTTGTAACCCTTCTCAGACTGTTAAATGTCATGGATTGTTTGTTGATGGATATAGTTTTAGATGTGCTAATTTTTCTTTATTTTGATATCCTTTTTGCTTTTATGCTTAAGCTAATTTGAAAACATTTTTATATTTACAAAGGTTGCTGAATTTGCTTAAAGACCCAAAACATTTAAGTTTAACAAACAGTTAAATCGTAAAGCAGAAGCTCTATAAGGAGGGCTGCAAATACTAGTACTGTTTTCACAGCTCTGTAATGTACTCCCATCATTCAGCTTCTGCTACTAAGCCAGATTCAGATTTTTATGTGTGTGAAACTGCACAAGGCTTTTTCACAGGACTGACTGGATTATATTTGAGCTTTATCCTTTCATATATGTATTGAAGGACAAAAGATGTTCTACTCAAATGCTAATTAGGCTAAAATGAACTTCTATTTTATCTTTCATATTTCTAGATTTTGATATTTTCTAACTTTGTCCTGACCAATATAAGTAAAAAAAATAAGAGATTCAACATTTTCAGTGAAAATAGCTCAACATGATCTCTGAAATACACTTTTCATAAGGATTTATTTGCATGTGCAGCATGCATATATGATTAAATGAAGAAAAGTAAAAGACAGAAAATGTCAGTATAAACACTGTCTCTTGCTGATATGGAGTGTTGTCAAATCTCTCAGCTGCAGCATGGAAATTCATCAGTGACATGTTAGCCAAATGAGAAGCATTTTAGGGATGATGCATTTCTTTTGTTCAGAATGGTGTTTCTAGTTCTTACTCCTCAAAATGAACATGGTGGTTAATTTCCTAAAAAAAAACTAGGGTTACAAAAGTAGCAATAAAATCAGACATTCCACTCACCCACACACAGTGAGCTCACCTTCTTATTTAGGGTTTTATTGCAATTTTCTCTGCCCTAGTTTTTTTTTTTCTCTCTTTCTCTTCTTAAAATTAATGGAATATTAAGTGGCACAGCTCTGCTCAATCAATGTTAGATTTATTCTTTTGTCACTTTTGCTTTTTGGTATTTGTATGCATTATCCCTCTCTCCAGCTCAGCCTCTACGTAATTAAAAACACACAACAGTTGCTCATAACTCTCTTGCTCATTTGTCGACATATTCTCTAGCTTTCAGGCTCTTTTCCTGCCTCCTATCCTCCTCCCCTGTGGGTTAATTATGATATGTGTGAGGAGGGGTTAGGAGCTGGTTTGTTTTCTGCTGTCTCCAGGGACTGTCTTATGTGACAGAGATTTGTCCCTCTGTAATCTAATGGGCCTGGAGAAGATTTGGCTTCGCCTGTGGCATTAATAGTGTGGTCTTTAATGATGAAACCAGTGTTTGTGTGGTCCTTCAGTTGGCTTGACAATTCCCTCCCTTGAGAACTGGTTAATATCTACTTTCGAGGAGGGAGATGCTAAGCTTTAACTAGAACCATTCCAATATTTAGGCAAACACAGTTTCTTCTTATAAGGGCCTAAAAATGTCTGTGTGACTGTGCAATATTTTTAGAGCTGCTAAATGTTGTTTTACAGTATTTATTTAGCTTTACAGATTTTACTTGGTAAAATAAAATGTACCAAAAGTGGTACATTGTGAAAGATGAACAGAGAGAAATGAGTGATGTATATTTTTCCAAATAAAATCCTAGAAATGTGCAGAAATGGATTTGCTATCCTCTCTCCTGAGTTAATAGGTATAACAACTTTTTATGTGCAATGGAAAGTCGTCTGGAAATATCTCTACCAGCTTTGCACAATAGCACAAGGTCACTGAGATTGGATGGAGAATGTCTAATCAGTTTTCAAGTCTTGCCACAAAACTTGAATTGATCTTCTAATCACTTATTCACTATATGTGTAATACCCTGATAGAAACTGATCTCCGTATTCAGTCTCAAGTCTTTTGCAACCTCCAACAGGTCTTCCTGCACTTATTAATACTCTTTGTTTGGTTTTATCTACCTTCCCATCAACTGTGACCAGCTCCCATGACCCTGGTAATGAAATAGCATAGCATGATACTGCCAACATTTTATTGTGGCAGTATATTCACAATAATGTTCAGTCTTAGTTTTCTGCTTTATGTAAAGTCTTGCAAGCAGACCAAAAAGTCACTTTTGGTCTCTCCCATTAGTTGCAGAAGAGATGAACCCAAGAGCACACAAGGAAAGATAATATCATGCTGGAAATCATATTTTTACTCAATGAATTGTACTTCATAAGGTACCACAGATGAGTTGGAACCTCAGATGTCAGAGCATACTCTGTTCAAACGTTGTGAATACTTTTGTAAACATTTTATGGTTCTCTCAACTTCTAGAGTGCATTTGTTTTTTTCATCCTTTTGATTAATATCAACAGAACTGGGCTTGTGCTGCAGCCCATTTCCTTTGCAATAGCTGAGTCTCCTCCAAACTTCCATATATAATCCATGCACAGTGCTGACTAAAGCTGAAGGTGGCAGCCTGCTGTTTGACTGTATGCTGCAAGAAACTGCTTTTCGCCACAGTTGGTAATACATCTTGCTTGCTTTTTCTACCGCAGTGAAGCCATATATCAGTGGCACGCTTACTGTTTGCATTTTTGCACCAATGCTATTACATTGATGTGAAGTATGGTTTTCTTTCTCATATTTGTAATTCTATGAAGGTACAAGGTCAATGGCTTTGTTGACCTGTAGAGGTTTGCTTGTGGTTAAAAAGATAGAACCTTTGTGTTCTTTACCCACTGCTAGTTTTCTTGTTCCATATGTGGTGTTATGGTCTGGCTCTAGAACCATAAATTAAAGGGAAGCAATGCATGGGATAACCTAAAAATGGGTTTTATTTTACAAAAATCATGTCTGAGGGGAAAAGGAGAAAGGAGAGAGTGGCAGAGAGGCAGAAAGAGTGGGCTCTTGTAATGACAAGGAATGGTGCATCTTACGATGGATCTGATGTCATTCCGGAGTCACTGGCCAGCTGCCTCCACTTCCAATCAGCACCAATTAGAAGCTCTAAAACAGTGATGTTAAAAACCCAGAGGAAAGGCTTTGGGCATATTTTGGCATATTTTTTTATACTCTGTGCTCAAAGTACAGACAAACATCTAGAAAAAACTACATAGAACACATCCCTGGATCCATACAAAATTCATGATTTATCAATATTTGAGAAGTGCTATACAGAGTTACAAAAGCCAAACAGAGTTCCCGTTTTGCTTTCTTTTTTGCTAGATAAAAAAAAAAAGATTTGATGCAAGCACTTCTAGATTCAGCACCGCCTTTACAAGCGTGTGACTTTTTCACATTCCCCATGAATGTTTTAAAATGACAGTGCGTTTTTCTCAGGAAGGTGAACTTGACCCACTTGGATGAAAAGTTTGCCTTTTCTAAATCTTGACTGGATTAAGGGGCTGTGCAGGAGGAAATGGTGGAATGAGACGTGAAAGTACTATGAGGTGAGATGAAGTTTGTAGTATATGGATGGAGTGGGAGTGGAAATTCATGGTGCGTTTGAGTGTGTGAAAGGAATAGGTAAGGCGGAGGAGCCCGGTATCCTGTTCTTGTAGCACCCCTTCTCCCCCAAACCTGCAGCCCCCCAACTTTCCCCTGGGGAGTGACAGATTATAGGCTGTAGCAGAAAGGAGAAACGCTGGAGATTGAGAGGAGGGAGAACGATTTAGCAAGTGTTATCACAAGAGAGGAGAAATGTTTGACCCCCCACTGTGTGTAAGATTGTCTTATATTGATGGCTTCATCTCAAAGAGTCTTCTCAGGTGTTTATCTCCTCTTACGCCATATGTTGTTTCAAAGATGAATCTATTTCTTTGGATTGTCTACTCTCCGGCCCTTTAATTAGTGTTCATGCTGCAAAAGCAATCCACAAATGATCTGTGAGTCTCCCTTCATTCATTCGCTCATTTTCTCAACGAAAATAGACAACACCAGAAAATCTCAGACAAGCTGAAAGTTAGTTCACTTTATCATTATTTTTATTGGCCCCAGATTGCTGTACGGGAAGTAACTCCAACCATTCTGTTGCCACACTACGAAGCACTTTCAACTAATCTGAGTTTTTCTCTCAGTCACAAACCAAAGGCAACAGATGGTTAAGAAGTAGAGAAGAAAAATAAGTGAGTGGCTGACCTGTCGGTGTACACAAGAGTCGATGAGTGAAACTCCCAGGTGATGAAGCTCTGCGTGATGTTCTTGGGAGGCCTGCGATTGTATTTGTCTGCCACATGTGAAGAGGTATAAAAAAATCCTCTGTAGGGGTGTCTTTGAAGAGCCCTTCTGGTTGCATGAAACCAGAAAACTGTGATGGAAATTGATTTTTTTTTCATATGCATAACCTCACTGCAGGATGACCACCTAAGTAGATAAAAGTAAAATTCTACCAGCTGCCATACAGAGTACATAGTCATAGAGTGACTAGCCTGCATAACTTCCTCAGTACCTGATGTTCTGTGGATTACAGCCTACCGTTACACATATCATTAACGTCACCCTTTTCTTCTCTTTTTTGTTTTTTATCCAGAGTCCACCGTGTTCTTTCCTGAACCAATTCATTCAGTAGAGGAAGATGTTGGGGAGCTTTTCATCCCTGTACACCGCAGTGGAGACATAAGTGAGGAACTCATGGTGGTCTGCTCCACACAGCAGGGTACAAATCCGCTCCTTTCTCTTTGTATTTCTCACATGTTTGAGACTACTAAAATCAGGTGGTGCAGACCAGTATGATCCGATGAGTCTAATGATTTAAAATAATTTTTTTTTTATCAATTAAAGCTGACGAAATGTAAATGTGAAATTTTCAGATCACAATATGCTAATATTTTAATATGGAGCCATGTGAACCACTCAGTTCAATCCAAATTATGATACAGTGATGTCTAATTCAGTTCATCAGTTAAAGTCAATAAAAAAGTATCAGGTGCAATTAAGAGGTTGACTTTGCAACGCTTCCTTAACCTGAGCAGGTGAAGACGAGTAACAATCTTTCAATATAAAAAAACCCTCCATCAGAATCAAGTACACTATAAGTTGTGCAGTTCAGAGGGCAATAATCAGACACAACTAAACATAGTGTCACTGGGCCAAGTGTATCTTTTAAGAAAAAAGCTAAAGAAAAATAATAAAAAGCTAATAAATAAATAAAGAATATAGGAATGTTGACTGAATGGAGCATAGCAGTAAAAATTACAGTTTTCAGTGTCAGTTTTCTTCCTCCTGCAAGCAGGAGCGCAGCTTTAGAGATTGCTCTAAAAGTCTTTATTATATACAGTTTGTTGTCATATAATTTCAATACTGATGAAGAAATGGCAACTTAAATGTCGGGAATACGTAATAGTGAAGGTCATAGTCCAAATCATATTTTATCTTCAAGCATTAGCTCTGCTACTGTTTACAGCATAGTTGAGTCTCAGGTTATGCCCCATAAGCTATGAGCTTTAATTATGCCTTTCCGGTCATGTTTAATTTTCCACCAGTGTCACTCATCTTCAGTTTTCTCCACAAACTTTCTAAACATCTCCTCACACTCCTTTTTTTCTGGTTCTTCCAAAGGTTCTGCCACAGGAACGATCCCCACCACCGTTCTGTCCTATTCAGACTACATTTCACGTCCGGAGGAACACAGCAGCATCCTCCGATTCGACAAAGGAGAGCGGGAGAAGATGTGTCGTGTGGTGATCATCGATGACTCTCTGTACGAGGAAGTGGAGAGCTTCAATGTGATTCTGACCCTGCCTGTTGGAGGTCGGCTAGGAATGCACTATCCTACCACTAAAGTCAGCATCCTCAAAGACATAGATGATGGTAAGCCACAGTTTGATTTGTTGCTTTATGTGTTTGATGACATCTAGATTACAGCTGCTCCATTAGTTACATCAGTTCCACTTAACAACTATATGCATCTAACTTTGTGTTGGTCTGTCAAATAAAATCCCACATAGTGACAAAATATTAAAAAGTTATAGAGGTGGGAATTTTTTAATTAACTTTAGTCTGTTTTTTGTTTTTGGAGTAGTCTCAGGTCTTCTCAGCATTTATGGATAGAAGAATTTCACAACCTGGGGTGTTACTAATTGTCACACACAGTAAATGTTTTCCTGTTTTTGTTCAACAAATATAGCCTTGAAATTATAATCTTTCTTAATTATAAAATGTATTTCTCAGAAGAAAAAAAAGGTAGAAAGACCATCAACAACTCGTATGCAGCTGTGACACTGATATATAACAGAAAACTAAGACAAATTTCAAAATGAATGGCAAAAATATTAATTAAATTGCACAGTGTTTTTTGTCTCTTTTTTAGTAACGATAATTTGAAAATTGTTTCATTGTATAATATTATAAGTTTCTTATGTTATTTTACAATTTAAAACATCTTTGTTAAACGATCGTTACATACATACATACTTATAGGTTTACAAGGACTCACATGTAACAAACTAAAAGCATTAGTTTCTTAAAAACCAGCCCTTTTTTCAAGGCTTTGTTCCAGATTTGAGGGTCTTGAACCTTAGCTTTTGAGAAACAATTGCTTCCTGGACTCAGTTGAAGTTTTAAATTTTTACCCAATTGCTAATGTGTGTGATATTTGTAATACACCAGTTCGATGCTATGAAGCTTACCAGAAATTGCCTGCTTAGTGTCTCCCTCCTCGAAATTGCGTCCACTGCGAAGAGAGAAGAGCCATTAATGTTAATTCAATATTTGAAAGCATAGCCAACACGGACCGGATGGCTTTGTTGACGTCTTCTGCTCCCATTGCTAAAATTACAGGCAAACTACAATCCTAAAACAGCTCAGAAAATCCACTTCATATCTCACAACTTCTCCCTCTGTTCGCTCATTGACCCTGTTGAAATTTCCTGGAGAAATTCAATTCAATAGCAGGAAGCGAGATTTGAATCAAGTAGAATTGCACAGAAAGACAACGGCCAGGCAAGAAAGAATAAAATTTAATCAGTCAATGGAATAGATAAATATAGGGAAAACATTTTATTTCTGGTCTTTATTCCCTATCAGTTTGTCTAAGCATCCACCCATCCATCCACCTGTCTGTCTATTACCTATTTATAATTATTCATCTTTTCTTCCATCTCTAATAATTAGGAAGGCAACATATGTATTTATAATTTAAAAATAAAAGGAAAAAGGAATAAAGAAATTGTACATATATACTAATTTTGGTTAATGAAGAACTCCTTGAGTTTTATCTACTTTTAGATTTTTTTCTTTTATGTTTAAGTCATTCTGTTAAAATTACTTAAACATTTAACAGAATGTTAACTGTCAAACACAACATTCTGTCAAAATGTTGTGTTTCATTGCAGCCAGTGTGTGTTTATTTTCAGCTTCACTTCATTTCAAGCTTAAAGTCAGTTCTTAACACAGCTCTTTAATAAACACAGAAGATGCTGTGTAGTGTGACTGGCCCACATATGGCACTCAACATATATTCCTTGTGTTCATTGACTTTTATGCTCTTGGTGTGTAAACACAAGACTGGTTTCTATTTTCGCTGCCTCCTGTTGAAACTGTCCTCATTACTTATATTTTCATGTAGTGAGAAAACAGGTGCATTGTTTTGGCTGTCACATAATCTAAGAGAAATGTGTAAGAAAGAGAAGATATTCATATGTAAGGGACCTTTTTGGCAGAGGGAGGAGAAGAGCTCCATCTAAATCCTTTATTTACTTTCTTTTTCCCAAAATACTTGGAATGCTGTCAAAAATGCAAAGAACAGAACCCCTAAAATCCCTTAAGTCTTAGATTTATCTGAAATGGAATAAAGAGCTATTGTTTTTGACCAATATGTGCTCAGTTTTAAATGGGGACCTCTGTCATAATCCAAACTTTTCTTTCAAAGAGCATTTAATTAAGGAAACCATGTAACTTAAAACTAAATCATTTCCATTCCAGACTGTTTCTGTCAGATGTTTTATTTTGCTTACTGCTTATGCGTTGCCCAACACCCACTATTGTGATGCAATTAATTTACTATAAAATGTGGAGTATTGCAGATTTAATTACTTCCTTCAGGTTTTAACAGCATTGCTTAGCTGGTTCACTTCTTGAGTAGATCTGTGGCAATGGAAAGTAAAACTTAACCTGAACCGGATCAAATTAGTCTTCCTGGTAGATCAGTAAAAGGTTTTTGATACTTCTTTGTTCCAAAACAAGGAACAAGAAATTTGTGGAATTTAATTTAATTACAGCATTAATATACTTGGCAGCAAAAAACAGAGACAATTATCTATTCCTGTCAAGAGTCAATGATTAGGGGACAGTTTTCAAATAAATACATTTTCATTATCAGACACCTTGAAACTTTAAATGATTTATTTTATATTTATCCATAAGTAGTTACAACATATTTGTGAACACAAGAGAATTGTAAACACTAAACTGCCTTTGATCATGGTATTATATTTATTTTTCTAGCTACATCTGTTAAGTAAAAAGCCCTTTTAAAATCACTGTCTAAATAACATGTTCTTATTTTATCTTCAGTATGATACTTTAAAGAGTGTTCACTTTATTTTGCCTATTTAAAACAAAATATTTTCATATTTTGATCAGCATAAGTAGTTCAATCCATTATGCAAATGTTCCTTTTTTATCCACAGGGGCTCATTTCCATCTGCAACCTGTCAGTTGATGGTATAAAACGAAAATAAAATATTAAATCACAGAATCTGTTAAACCACATAATATTGAATAAGAAGTTGCATTAGTGAAAATTATAACATTCACAAATCTGCATGTGATTACAGGTTTGATCGCTACCAAGCATTATGGAGCCTCTAAATACAGTTCTAACTGAAGAGTTTTGTTTTTTGCTAACAAGCAATGCACAGTGGTTTTCTTTGCTTTTTGTGCAAAGACAAAAACTTTGAGCAAGCAAATTTTTTTATGGCTTTCTGTTAATACTCTAAAAATATTATATTTTTGTAATCAATGTAACAATCATTAACACAAACAAAATAGGTTTGTTATTGAAGAAGTACTTAAAATGTTTTATTGTTTTTATCTGGTACATACTATGTTTATAAATCTTTCTTCTTATCTCTCTTTGCATCTCATTTTATCTGTCTCTTTCTGTCTTCCCCTTTCAATTGTTATCTGTTGTATATTTCTTTCTTATTGGTCTTCCAAGAAAACTTGAATACAGTTATTTATTTTCTGAAGAAATAGGTGAAGGTGTGAACACGTAGAGACAGAAATATATTTAATGTTATCTAGACAGAATAATACAATTATTGAAATTAACTAATCACAATTAATTACTACATGCCACGATTTTCTTGGGGGAGCAGCCATTATTGTTGGTGGGGCAGAGCAGGGCGGTGAATAATAGGGGAATAACTGAAATACACAAATATGCATCTGTACACATCTCCTGAGAAACATCAGCAGCAAACCCCAGGAAAGTGATTGACATACAAAAGAGGACCCACTATAGAGCCCTGAGGTCCACCATATCACCGACAACCATTTCAACAATTATCTCATTTATATATGAACACATTGTTTTGTATTTATCAGATATAATTTTGTTTGCTTTATTTAATTTTAGCAATGTTCCCTTTCAACAAGAAGGTTGTGGGGTCAACTCCTACCCTTGGCTCTTTCATCAGGGACTTTGCATGTTCTTCCTGTGCATGCATAGATTCCCCATAGGTCCTCGAGCTTCTTCCAACAGTTCAGTTAATTGGTTACTGTACATTTCCTTTTTCAGTGAGTTTGAATGGTTGTTTCTCTTGTGTGTCTCTGTGTTGTCCTGTGATAGACTAACTGACAGGGCCCTGAGTTCATCTTTCCAAAGACGACTGGAAAAAAGCACCTATTAATGACTAATTAGGATATAATTAGGTTTATCCATTGGGGTTACACCTGCAGTTTATGTAACACTGTTTTGTCTTTGGCCAATTTTTGTCTATGAATTACCAGGCTCTGCAGAACTTTTATTAAATTAAAAAATGTTTGACTTTTCATATCAGACAGTTACTTCTTGCCTGCTCAGGTCAATCAGGTCCTTCTTCAGGCCCTAATTATGACAATTTAGTTATGGACTTCTTATGCTTCCTCACTCGTCTTTTGCTGGAGGATGTGGTTCAAATTTATTTCATACCAACTAAATGTTTTTCCTGTAAATGTTTTTAATGTTCAGCATGCCATATCTTAATAATGTTGTGCACTATATTATATGTAAGGCAGTGTTAAATTTGCCTTGCAACTTTTTTATTCATTTACATGTATTTTAGTCTGTTTACAAAATAGACTGCTAATATATCAGCCATATGGTTTACTAATACTTTTACCCCTCATCCCCAAAGGGGACTTCTAGTTTGGAGTCTAAGTCCTTCTCGGAAAAATCAAGTCTTGGTTTTAAAACTTTTGACAGTCTCCCCTTAAGAATAATCCCAGGCTTCCTATTTAATGGGTTTATGAAGTTGTTTGTGTAACAATGTTATGTCAGGGGCAGTTCATTCAGGCAAACTGATTAAAAAGCAAAAGAATTAAACTAAGACTTCCTTTAAAGGAATTCAACTGTTTTTCTGTTCAAGCATCAGGGGCAAGTTAACAAAAAATCTGACACAATTCTGAATTTTAGTAAACTGTCAGTATTAAGGCAGCCTTGGTGCATAGCTCAAAGAAATGCAAATGTGTTTGCAAAAGCCCAACTCCTGAGAGAGATGATATGTCAATTTCTGTCTCCCGGAGGATAATACGACACCTGACAGCTCTCTAAATCCTCTACCAATGGCAGCATGTTTCTTACTAATATCCTTGATTTTTCTAAGGAA